ATAACAATGAAAGCCCATATACCCACTCTCTAGATTTAAAAATTAAGGTTTTTATCATATTTGCAAATGTGGTGCTTGGGCTTAGAAACAGTTAAAGCCAGAAGGGCTATGAGAAGGAATTTGAATTTTATTACAAGGGCAGTGAAAAATTATCAAAGGGCCTTAATCAGTGGGTTCTTCTTCTTCCCTAAAATTCCACCAAATACTTCTACTGAAATAGTGCTGATGAGAAAGGAGGAAGGGGTAAACGAGAAAGGCAGGCAGATTGTTGTGGTAAAGGTGTCTCTTAACCCATCTTAATCTTTGTTTAACCATTGCTGCCTCCAGCTTCAGCATCTCTATACGCTTGGGATTGTCGGTTCAAAAACTTAGACATGTGCCTGTTTCACATCCTTCGAGGTCCCCGAGCACTTTGAATGGTCCTGTTTGATGGTGGACCAGGCCCTTTTGAAGGCACTTCTCCACTCTGAGGAAACATCAATGTGGGCTGAAGAGTCCACTCGATGGTGCCTTTGCTATCATTCGAGCATTGTTGCAAGGTGGTTTGGTGCTCTGTGAAAGGATTAACTTATTTCTTTTGAATAAGGGTTGAAGGAAGGAGACTGTGCAAGAGTTGAATCACGAAGCTCAGCTCTTTTTAAAACTAAATTTGCATTTCATTCCAGTTCTTTCTGTTCCTCTTCATAATCACTAAAATCAGTGTGACCCATGAATCTATTCAATCATCCATATTTTAAAAGATAAAATTGAATGAAATAGAAAGTATTAGATTTAGTTTCATGTGTGCGTGCATGTGTGTAATTAAATACGTTTTAAAAATTTGGTTAATAAAATCATAAGTTTCAAGTGTATAAGCTCAGTAATTCGTCACATGTATATTGCGTTGTATGTTCACCCACTAAAGTTGAATTTACTTTTATTACCATATATTTGACCCCCTTTACTCTTATCTGTTCCCCCCTCTCCCCCGCCTTCCCTCTGGTAACCACTAAACTGTTGTCTGTGTCCATGAGTCTCTGTCATGTTTGTTGCTTTCAGTTTTATATCCCACGTATAAGTGAAATCATAAGGTTCTCACCTTGTTGTCTAAC